ATTCTGATGAGAAACTTTTTCTGGCACGACACATGAGCCAACTTTCCTTGCAGTAGATGCAGTAATTGATTCGATACAGTCGTTCCACTTCATGTCAATGGAAAACCTGAGGCCAAAAAGTCGCAGTGTGTTGCTCACCTGTAGTTTATCATCAGTAATACTGATGACAGGAAGAAAAAGTTCTCTGTGGTGGTTAAATGAGAGTAGTTTTGTTTTGGGGGCGTTAAATTCACAAGCCATTTCTTGCTCTAGTTCACCTTTAATTCAGAATTCTTTTCAAGAACAGTTGCCGGACACGAGTAAATAATTACATTATCTGCATATATACTTAGTTGGGAACTGATGACATCAGGAAGATCGTTGATGAAGATCAGAAACAGCGTAGGCCTAAAGATAGAGCTCTCTTGGAACCTCGCATTAATATGACATGATTTAGAAGCGTATCCGTTCAACAAGATTTGTTAGAAATTATTGGATTAAACCAAATATTCGTCTAAAGACACCGTAGCCCTTGAACTTATTGAGATGGCCTGGATGTCAAACCCCGTCGAAAGTCTTTTAGAAATCTTGAGCCACAGCCCGAGCTTCGGCCTTCTTATCGAAAGCTTGATAGACTATTTCTGTGATGGCCGTTAGCAGCGGTAAATATAGCGAAACAGAAGCCATATTGTTTATCCGAAAAGAGGCCATGTGGGATAAGATATTTAACTAAATATGTAAATGGTTGCGTCATCTGCATAGATACATAGTTGGGAATTGATGGCATTGATGAAGATCAGAAACAGCGTAGGTCCCAGGATAGAGCCCTGGGAGACCTTGCGTTCGTATGAAAGAATCTGGAAGCAAGCCCGTAAACACGACCTTCATTTTACGATATGTTAGGAACGATTGCATTAAACCAAATATTCGTCCTGTCACACCTTAACCCTGGAGCCTGCGTAGATGGCCAGCATGGGAAACCCTGTTGAGCACCTTCAAGCTAGCTAGCGCCACAGCCCAAATTTCGCCATTCTAGTTTAGAGCTTCATAGGCAAATTCAGTGATAGCCATTAAAACATCGGCGGTAGACCTGGCGAAACGGAAGCCATATTGTTTGTCCGGACGGAGGTCATACGAAGTAAGATGCTTAACCACTTCGGCATTGATTAGAGCCGCGAGTATTTTGCCGAAAAGCGCTAAGAGACGATAGGGCGATAATTTGAGGGGTCAGGGTGTTCTCTAGTGTTCTTAAAAACGGAAAATACAGAGCAGGGCTTCCAACAAGCTGGAAAGCAGGAAGCAGTGAGACAAGTGGAAAGAACAGGGACCAGCTCTGAAGTACATTACGTTAGGACGACGGCAGGGATTCCGTCACACCCGCTTGCCTTGTGGGTATCTAATTTCGAAATAATGTCTGAAACCACTGAGGAGGTTATGCGCATATCACTCAGTAGAGCTTGTGTTGTGTGGTGGGTACTGGCAAGGGTACTCCAGATGAGTCGAGAGTGGAGTTGGCAGAGATCTTCCAAGCAAAGCACTCTACAGTAGAGGTCAGACTTCAAATTGATTGATGAGGGGAGGAACTGAAGATTTTCTATTGTTCAGCACACTATTGCAGAGCCACCAGTGTTCACTAAAGCCAAACTTGTAAGGCTATAGATTGCTTCCTTCTATCATTGCTTCTTTGAGGGCGCGCTTGCACTCATGTTGCAAAAGTTGGTTGGAAGCACACATAGGAAAAGAAAAATAGTACGAGTTCAATAGGTTCACTAGGCAAAACATCCACATTTCTCGTCTCGATCTCCAATACGCCACTCACCGTCCGAAACGAAAAAAACCACCCCCTGTTAAATGAGGGTACCATGCTTTTTATGCATCTGACCCAGACAGCACTCAGCCAATGTGTACCCAGAACCAGCCAATAAAAATAGCTCCAAGCGACGCCACCACTCACATTAACTGGTCATCAGCAAGTGTCGATGTACAGAGTTGAAAAAAATGTAATGTTACGTATGAAAGATCAAGGTACATTTTTTCCACTTGTAACGGACGACGGTGATGTTACACGGAACAAAATAGACCAGCCAAATCTCGTGACTGACTTATTGTCAAATCATCGCAAGTGTATCATCTCCCTACAGTCCAAATTTAACTCACGACAACTTTTGCCTATCGCCTTTGAAAGATTTCCGACCATGGACGAGATTAATAAGAGTGCGGTGAGGCAGCTGATGGCGATCCCAAAAGAGGAATTTTCAGACTATTTTGAAAAACGAAAGAAACGCTAAAATAAATATGTGAGTTCTCAAGAGGAGAACTTTCAGATGGACTTTGGCGCCATTGATCGAGATAGGATATTTGTTACTATTATAGGACTGAATCTTTTTTTCAGACAGACGCCATATTCTTTGATCTAAATTCACTACTTCCTTTCGATTTTATTCTGAAAAGGGCAAGAGACCACATTTACGAGTGGGAGAGGGTACGTGTTTTTAGACCAAATTATCAAGCACGTCTCACAGACTTTATTCATGTCGTTTGATTCACGATGGGTACCTCATTATTTTAGTTCTGCACTAGACGAATTTAAATTGGGTCATTATTGAGCGGCCATTTTTGATAAACTTTTAAAACATTGTTAGTGAGTTTCGGTCTTACTTTGCTGAGTCAATATCTTCAAGAATCTCCTGAATTTTATCATTTTTTTTATCCTTTCAAGTTAAAATGATTTTAAGAACAGCGTTTCATGGTTATTATATTCTATACTGTTTTACATGTATCAAGATATCGAAACTTGATTTTTACGTGAATGTGTGAGATGAGGACCTTTCATTAAATACTGATATATTTAAATAGATGTCTTCATCTTGATTGTTTGAGACACAAATTTCAGCTATTTATGACATGAAAAATTATTATATATTGAGTTATTCAAACTCATGTCAAATGGAAAAAAAAGATTGCAGGTGAACTTGACTTCAGCTGATTTGCTCGGCTTTCATTAGAAATTTAAATATATTTGAAATCTGCATCATCAACAGTTATGAACAGAGAATATATTTATTCATCGTGTATATTATGGTTGAAATTTTTTATATATGAAGGTTAGAAATATTCTCATCACGCATGGATTTCAAACCTAACAAAACTATTCTCCATGAACATTATTATTGTTATCCAACATTTTCTCTTTTGTAAACTATTCTCCATGAACATTATTATTGTTATCCAACATTTTCTCTTTTGTAAACTATTCTCCATGAACATTATTATTGTTATCCAACATTTTCTCTTTTGTAAACTATTCTCCATGAACATTATTATTGTTATCCAACATTTTCTCTTTTTTGTAAACTATTATCCATGAACATTATTATTGTTATCCAACATTTTCTCTTTTGTAAACTATTATCCATGAACATTATTATTGTTATCCAACATTTTCTCTTTTGTAAACTATTCTCCATGAACATTATTATTGTTATCCAACATTTTCTCTTTTGTAAACTATTCTCCATGAACATTATTATTGTTATCCAACATTTTCTCTTTTGTAAACTATTATCCATGAACATTATTATTGTTATCCAACATTTTCTCTTTTGTAAACTATTATCCATGAACATTATTATTGTTATCCAACATTTTCTCTTTTGTAAACTATTATCCATGAACATTATTATTGTTATCCAACTTTTTCTCATTTGTTAATATGTGAATATTTTTTGTGTCGAGCTAAGAGTTGCTTCCAAGCATCCATCATAGCATTCAACCTTTATATTATTTTAATCAAGCAGTTTTCTGTTTTCTTAACTGGTGAATAATCTTTCGCGTCTGAGCTTTTTTCCGAGCCCTTCCCATCATGCATAGTTTTCAAACTATAACCTATGAATATTATTATTTTCTCTTTTGTTACTGCTAAATATTTTTTATATCTAAAGCTAACAGTTTCTCATCTTACTTCCTATCAGGCGTATGCTTGAACCTAACAAATCTTTTACACATTTATTTATCATTATAATCGCCATTCTTGAAATTCATTCAATGTTGAATATCAATAGTACGAAAATTCTGCTCAAATTTTAGCTAAAGAATCACGTGTCAGCCTATGATGTATTGATTGGCGTATGAAATTTTTAAATTTATAGAACATGTTGAAAAATTCTGTAAACATGAAACGAAATTAAAATCCTTAAATAACCACGAAAACAGCTTATTTTTTTTTCATCCATTTTTGTTGAAATTCCATGTAAAGAGACAGCATCTTCGAAATAATTGTATATAAATAAATAAATAAAGACCATTAGTAAAACAAATTTATTATTATTTTTCTTTTGTTTATATTTCTGGTGGCGTTGAGATATTTACTAAATTTCTCAACTAAATTTAGTTTGGCTCCATAGCAACAGCATTGCAAAGATTTCTCCAGCTGTAAAAAATCTAGATGCTGTGAAAATCTGAGTTCGAAAGTATGGTTTTAGCTAGGCTCGAACACCACTCATTGACGCTAATTGGAAATACGTAACCCCAACCACAATACCAACAGAAGAATGTTGCTTCTTTTACGCTAATCCTCGACATTAATCAATATTCACAAATTAACTGGTGACTCGTAATACACTGATAATTCCTTCCGCAGCTCTTTCTGGCTAAGAAATTTGCCAAGATCAAATTTAACGCGCTCACATCTTTTCGGTACACAACAGAATGGTGTTTCCTATTTTCAGCTTTTCTGCTATTTACCTTTTTTTTTTATTTCCGTAATATTTTGATGCTGTAAGCGACGTACACTTCTTTGGAACGTTAGTATACGTCACTTTTATCGTTGTCATCTTTTGTACTACAAAGACAGTTACTATCACCAAATTATTATTATTATTATTATTATTATTATTATTATTATTATTATTATTATTATTAGAGTAGCGGTTGTTCTTCTTATCTTTATTGATATTACACTTGCAGTTGGCGTTTCAAAGTGATATTTTCTACCGAATCCTTTTGATGTCTGATTAATCGACATGTTATTTCTTCATCGCCATCTTTTCTCCAGAACGTTTTCTCTTCTGAATCTATGTTTTTCAAGCCTCTCTTTTACATTGCTCATTCTCACTGACACTTCTCATATCCAACCCAATACCTGTTTAGACCTTTTCGATATTTTTTTTTTACTGATAACTTTATTCCTTTCTTTTTTTTTTTTTATATTATTTGTCGAATTTACTTCACACATTTTTGTTTATTTTCATTTACAGCTTTTTTTTGTGGGTTTCAGGGTTGGAATTTTATTATCCTTATCTCTCTTGTTTTTTTCTTTTGTCTTTCCTCTTTCTTCTGGTTTCTTTTCATCCTTCTTCTTTTTTCATTCCTTCTTTCTTTTCTCTTTGTTTTAATTTCTTTTCTTCTTTCATTCCTACATTTAATGGTTATACTTTACTCACGTTTCATCTATTTTATTTTGAAGTTGTCACTTTATGTATGTATTTGCTTGTTTATCTTCCTTTAGTCATTTTAATCTTTCTTTCTTTCTTTCTTTTACTTTCTTTCTTTCTTTCTTTCTTTCTTTGCTTCCATGTTTTTACTTTACTTTCGTTCATTGATTTCTTTCCTTCATCTAACCATCTTCTCCATCCTCCTCCAAAATCTTATTTCTTTCTATTTATTCTTGTAACCATCTATCTATCTATCTATCTATCTATCTATCTATCTATCTATCTATCTATCTATCTATCTATCCCAGCCTGTTCATATCTATCTATCTATCTATCTATCTATCTATCTATCTATCTATCTATCCCAGCCTGTTCTATCTATCTATCTATCTATCTATCTATCTATTTCTATCTATCTATCTATCTATCTATTTTTAGAAGGTCTAAATATTTTTAGGAAATATCTATATCTATCTATCCATCTTACATGGGTGGGCTGAAAAGTTCATATGCCGACCATGAGGGAGTAATGCTAGAGCTGTGAAATCTTGAAATCTAGGGTATATATATATATATATATATATATATATATATATATATATATATATATATATATATATATATATATTTCTAAATCCAAACGATCTTGAAGACTCAAAGAAAATACCGTGAAATTAGTCAGGTTCAAAACCCATAAGACCCTCATTGTTTCCACTATCGCTGGGAAAATAACCAAACATTTTATCATTGGATCCAATATGATGTTCAAAGAGAATACGATTCCCGGTCCTATTCGTTGTGTTAATGATTCTAAATGTCTAAAATGACTTAATTGCTATATCACTTCTTTTTTTCCCGCGAATTGTTCAGCTACGTGCCCCACTATGCAAGCATCGGTCATAGCAAAATCTTGCTGCTGCATTCCGTTGTTCTATTCCTCCTTCATCAAAGTTTTAAAGATCGATCGGTTACAGTTAACAGGAACATATTTCAAAGCGTTTTTATATATTACAAATACAATAACTTTTAATACTTATCGATGTCGACATAGGGTTTCGTAATTTTTTAATCACTTATCATTGATCACAGAAATTATTATATATACATTAAATTATATATTTTTAGGTATAAATATTGCTAGTAGTAATATCCAGCACGTTTTACTTCAAAAATATAGACATATGTCTATTTTTCTAATAATTATTTTTAGTTCTCTAATTAGTTTCTTGAGGTTAACGGGCAAAAGGATTAATTTAAAATTTAAAAATAATTATAACAGAGCGCGTTCACACAAGTTTTCAAATATCACCATCACAACGATCCCAGTTACAATAAGTTTGTCTTTGCAATTCACACTGAGGATGATCTTGGAGAAGATCGAAAGTACTTGGGTTAACAAAAACCAGGGTGCATTCCTTGATCTATTTCAACTTATCAAGTAGCTAATTAGAGAACTAGAAAGGATTATTTTAAAAATAAATAAACATATGTAATATAATGTAGTGGTTCCAACGAGAGAAAAGTATGTATATTAAAAAGAAGAGAAGAGAGGTGCCGCAAACGTTTTTGGTTGTAATGTGGATTTATTTAGAAAAAATATTATGCTTTGTTTTACATAATTTCACGACACGTGTTTCTGGTCTCGCGACCGTCTTCAGGTAAAAGTGGAGATTTCCACATATTATTAAAAATAATAATTAATTTTTCCTCATGTTCAATGTTAAATATTCTCGATATGAGACATTTTCTGTTTGTGTGTTGTTAATCTGAATTTCCCTCTTGAAAATATATATATATATATATATATATATATATATATATGTGTGTGTGTATGTATGTATATATATATATATATATATATATATATATATATATATATATATATATATATTATATAAACCTCAGTTCTCGAACGTCTCACATTACCGAACCGAGCCGAACCGAATTAACCCGAACGGAATCATTTCTTAGTCGACCGCCATCTTGTATACATTCGTGTATTGTGCTGTGCTTTTCTTTTCCAATTTTATTGTACTGTGACTTTTTTCTCTTCTTTAGTTCTCAGTCATGGCTCCAAAGAAAGCTACCAGTGATACTGGTAAAGGAAAAAGAAAAATTAAGAGAAAAACAATTGTTGATGACACTGTCTCTATGATGATGATATTGTCTCAGTTTCATATGGTAAAAGCAACGATTTATACTATTCTTATAAATAAAGAGACGACCATGTCTTTACTTTCCCTTTTCCAACCAATAACATCTCTTTCCTTCCCCTTCCACTTACGCCATCAACTCTGCTACATGCAAGTACGATAAAAGTGTTCGTCTATATTTTATCTCTTTAGTATTGTTTTTTTTTCTTAGATTTAATGATTTTCATTAGTTTTGTGTGTAAAATACTGTTGTTAAAGTTTAAATAAGCAATCATCTTGAGACCAGAAACGGATTAATCCATTTTACATTGATTCCTATTGTAAAAATAGTTTCGGTTTAAGAATATTTCGGGTTACGAACGGGCTTCAGGAATGACTTAAATTCGTGAACCGAGATTCCACTGTATTGGGTAAATTGTATGAGAAAGTGGGAAAAGTTTACTTGTGGCGTGTTTCGTCCTTCAGGACTTCAGCGGACTAAAAAATGCAGTCTGATGAAGCCCTGAAGAACGAAATGCGTCACAAGTAAACTTTTTTTCCATTTTCTCATACAATTATCCCAATACTGTTCTTGATATATAAAAATATATATCGTTAGCGGCGGGAGTACAGAATGTGAAAGAATATTAGAAAAGATGAAACATTGTTAAGGAGCGAGAATAATAAGAGTAACGATGAAGAGAAAGAGATGGAGTAACGGATAGCGGCTCGGACTGAGAAATCGGAGAGCCGAGTTCGAATTCCATTCGAATTCATTTCATTCACTTATGTGCTAATAAAGGAAAGGTATGAATCCGCTTCAGCTCCCCCTCCCCCACCAGCTAAATAGCAGGACAGACTGGGTACTATAGTCTTGGAGAGAAAATGCAACCGCAGAAAGAAATGGCAACCTACTGCGGGGAAAAAAATATAATACATGATCGCCTAAGCGTTTATCACGCATGGTACATAACTGACTGAACCATGAAGACAGAAAATAACGATTGACATTGCATTTAAATTTTTGAAAATCGAAATTAAATAGAAAGCAAGATGTTGAGTTTAACAAGCGTTATGTTATATATCTAAATATAAGATAGATAGATAGATAGATAGATAGATGAGGTTTTGACAAAACGTTCTTGGTTAGACCGAGAGCTTTTCAACAATCCATCCTAAGTTTTAAATGTAAAAGTATCATTATTTTTTTCTTTAATTTTAGGCTTTTTAGTTTTACTTACTGGTTGAATCTGTCGTGCATTTTCTTCCTCGACCAGTCGTAGGTATTTCGGAAATCTAATATTTGGATTACTAATTTTGTCACCCCCTCCCATTGTAGAATTATTTTACCTTCTTGCTAAACCCCGGCCTTCTCGTAAAATACAAGATACCCATATAGTAAATACGTCTGTTTTCTTTTTGTAGCATCATTTTTCTTCTGTTTTTTCTTTAACAAATTAACTTCTCCAAAGTGTTTAATCCTTTTCCTTCTCTTCCTACCACTCCAGTTTTTTTCTCTCTTTCTCTCGACGTTTCATTTCCTCTTTCTTTCTTTCTGCAGTTTTCTATTTTTCTTTCCATTTATCTCTATCTCATTCTTTTTTCTCCTTTTCTTTTTCTCCTTTTCTTTTTCTCCTTCTCTCTTTCCTTCACTTATTTCTTTCTTTCTGCAGCTTTTTATCTTTCTCCTTCACTCTTTCCTTCACTTTCTTTCTTTCTTTCTTTCTTTCTTTCTTTCTTTCTTTCTTTCTTTCTTTCTTTCTTTCTTTCTTTCCCCAGCTTTCGATCTTTCTTTCCATTTCTCTCTCTATCTCATTCTTTTTTCTCTTTCTCCTTTTCCTTCATCTGCTTTCTTTCCGTCTTTCTTTATGTTACTACTTATCGTTTTCAATTCCCCCCTCTCTCATTTTTCTATTTCTCCTTTTCTTTTTCTCCTTTTCTCTTTACTTCTCCTCTTTCTTTCTTTCTTTCTTTCTTTCTTTCTTTTTTTCTGTCTATTTTTTCCTGTATTTCTTTCCTTTTCTCTCTCTTCTCTAGCTTTTTATTTCAATTTCTCTCTATATATCCCGTTCCTTTATTTCTCTTTCGCCTTTTCTCTTTCTTTCTTTCTTTCTTTCTTTCTTTCTTTCTTTCTTTCTTTCTTTCTTTCTTTCTTTCTTCTCGTGTTCTCTCTAGGCTATCACTTCTGACCCTCCACAAATCTTATTATTATTTCTCACTTAATTCTTTGATGTTTACACACTATTTCATTATGTTTGTTTCCACGTGATTGAGATGAAGAGCCTTTTCGACAGTCTTCGTATCTTCCGTAAGTCATGCCCATAAGAATATTGTGTAGCGTCAAAATGATAACAAGTATATTTGGAGGGCAAAAAATATAAATAGAAAAAATATATAATATTTTATTTTATTTCACATTCTATTCTTTCGTTCGACACTATTTACCGTCTTCAAGTGCCATTTCTTTGTTCTCAAATTCAACAGCCCAATCAGATCGGCAGATGTTCATTGTTCGCCTGTTCCCGCCAAAAGCACAGGGAACGTCGCCTCACGTCATTCGCATCAAGTGAATATTGATACATGCCTATATAATTTTGAGAATATGTTTAATAATAGCGGCCGTTTCAACTGATTCCTTTTTACTCTTTATATTGGGAGAGGGTGTGTTTGAAAAGAACGTGAAAGATGGCGAAGCGGGTTGAAAGACCTTAGGGAGATGCTATTCTCTCGTTCTGCAAACCAGAATCAGTAAAGGAAGGTGGAATACGGATGGGGAATATCAACAGTGTTCGAAAAGAAATAATCGATGATCGGAGTGGGAGGCGGAAATGAACGGGAATCTGTTTGGGTGGGGGGTCGTATAAATACTCGAGAAGCAAATTGAGACCAAGTTGATTGGCAGGAAGCAAAAGTAAATAAATAAAAGAATAAAATTTTGGAAATGATGGACGAAATAAAAGGTGACATTTTTTAAGGAAGAATCGAACGGACAGAAAAGGAAACACAATTAAAAAGAGGGAGGAAGAAATGACGGAGTAAGTAAAAGAAAGAATAAAGAATAATTGTCAATGAAAGAAAAATGGCGAAAAAAACAGGTAATTAGGAAAAATATGAATGAATGATAGAAGAAAAACAATAAAGAAAAACTAAAAGAACGAGGGAAAATGTGAATAAAAGACTGGAGAAGAAAAATACATTGAAGGAAAAAAGACTATTTGGAAGAAAAGAAGTCAAACCTCGAAAAACAGAAGTAAGAAAAATTAAAAGAAAGAAACGAAAGAAGGAAAAGAATTAAAAAAAACAAAAGAATGATAAATCTTAAAAAGAAAAAACTAGATGAACGGACGGACGATATGAAATGAAGAAGAAATGAATGAAAAAAAAACTAAAAATAGGAAATAATACGAAATTAAGAATTAAAGGAAAAATGACGAAAAGAAAGAAATCTCGTAGAAATAACGGAGGAAGAATATCATTAAAAAAAAAACAGAAAGGAATGAAGGAAAATGAAAGGAAGCAAAATGAAGTAACGAGAAAAGGAAATAAAAGAAAATGATTAAAAAAAATGAAATCTAGCAATTCAAGAGAGAGCAAGCAAGATACGAAGGAAAGAAAAGAAGAATAAAAGAAAGATTTACTATTCAATAAAAGGATAAACTCAAGAAAAAAGAAGAATTATTAATCAGTAGGGAAGGTAGAAAAACTAGAAAAATTGAATGAAAAACTGAAATATAAAAGAAAGGAAAAAATAAAGAAGAAACTAAAAAGGAAATCAATAAAATCGAAGGAAATAAACCAGAAGAAAAGAGAGAATTAAAACAAAGAAGAAAAAAACGAAAGAAGTAAAAGTAAAAATAAGGAACGAACGAAAAAAGAAATAAAAGAAAGAAACGAAGTAAATAAAGCTACACAAAAAAGAAAGAAACGGAATAAAGAAGAAAAATAAGAAAAAAAAAGCTCCAAGGAATTTTAGAGAGAATAAGTAAACGAAAAGAAACCTAGAAAAATGTAAGGGAAGGAAAAAGTAGAAGAAACTGAAGAAAGAAATAAAAAGGAATCAATGAAAATAGAAGACTATGACAAAAAGAGGAACAGAAACGTCGGAGAATAGAAAGGAAGGAAAAAAACAGAATAAATAAAAAAAAAATGAAGGAAAAATCGATAAAAGAAAGAAAGAAAAAAAAAGAAAGAAATAAAAGATATGGAGGAGAAAGAATGAAAGAAGAAATAAACGAAAGAAGAAAAATTTACGAAGGATGAAAACAAAAGAAAATAATGGAACGAAAATAAAATTAAAATATAATATTTAAAGGAAAGGAAGAAAAAAATTAAGAAACTGTAAAAAAAAAAAAAGAAGAAATCTAGGAGAGAGAGAGAGAGAGAGAGAGAGAGAGAGAGTAACTAAATGAAGAAAAGAAAGTAAGAAGAAACGAACAAAGAGAAGTAGGAGAAATAAAAAAAAAGGATAAAAAGTGGATGATTTTAAGAAAAAATAGGAGAAAGAAATGAAAAAAAAAAATAAAATAAAGCGAAACATACAAAAATGAAAGACAGAAAGAGGACAAATGAATGAAGGAAGAATAACATAATGATTGAACACAGAAAAGAAATCAAAATAAAATAGTGGAAAAAAATAAACCAATAAAAAGAAATGAAAGAAACATCAATGAAAGAATGAAAGCTATCAATAAAGAAGAAAGAAGATAAGAAATAATGATAAAAAAAATCTAGTAAGAATAAATGAAAAGAAAGAAGGAAAAAAAACAAAAGAAGGAAAACTTGAACGAAAGAACAAAGTAAAAAAAAAAATGTATCACTGTCCGAAGTACGAAAAAAGAGCGAAAGAAAAAATTGAAGGAAAAAGAAAAAAACAAGGAGAAAAAAAAAGGTAACTGGCTTTCTAGTTTTCTTTTCTTTCTTTTTTTCTATTTTCTTTCTTTATAAGTGTTTCCTATTATTTCTTTTACTTCTTCTTTCATTTATCTCTCTGATTTTTTCCCTTCAGACGTTCATGGTAGGACGATAAACTACATTCAGCAGCAATTGGGAGGTTTTGAGGAGCGTGTAACAACCTCTTAATTGCTGTTGTTCCCAGGTCCACCCTGATCCTGAGTGGTAACACCTGTTAGGGTTCCAGCTATGGGCTAATAGTTAACCCCAAAACTAGGGCCAAAACACTATGAAAGTATAAAAATACATTTTTATAGGAAGAATACCAGCAATAAATTTAAATTAAATTCAAAATAAAGTTAATAAAATTTTTTAAAAATTACTAGTCATATATTTAAAAAAGAAATATCAGCAATAGCTTAAACGAAAATACCAGTCATATATTTTTTTTGTAAAAGAAATCATTAATGTTCCTAAGAAAATTAAATTTCGGCATTAAATGACCCATAAGGAGTTGATATGCCGTTAAATAAACAACCGATTCGTACCAATGGCCTAGTGGATAAAAGCGTTGGTTAGATCGAAAGAAAAGAAAGGAAGGGAAAAGTAATAAAAGTGGAACGAAAGAAAAAAACAGTAAACATATTAGAGGTGGGGGTGACTATAACACAGCGAAGAAAAATAGAGAAAATCTAAACTAATACGAATCGGCCACACTTTTCTCCTCTACACACAAACACGTGACATCCTCACCATGGGACAAGCAGTGCACATGAACAGGTCATTAACACGTACTTCAACAACAATTTCGTCTCTTTTCCCTTTTCTGGCCATAATAGTAACATTCATCTTTTAGCACTCAACAAAAATTCAAGGTAAGAAAATCCAAGACACTTTTTGTATTTTTCCAACTCAATTATATACACACACATTACACACCTCTATAAAAAAAAAAAAAAAAAATACGAGGAAAACTGTATAGATTTTTCTTATTCTTTAACTTCTGTCAGATTCCGATCCATATTTGATCTATATTTGACCCCAAGCTCTCAATTTTACTCAGTATTGCAATCACCCGTTTCTCCAACACCACATAACAATCAGATAATAAATAAAACTCATTTTGTTGTTTCTATGTCTTGCTGCTTCTCATTATTACGAGTATTTTTGTATATATAAATGTAAAAGGGTTTATAATTATTTACTCAGAGTTATATAATCCAAAGTATTTTATAAATATTTATATACAAATGTAGGTGTAAGATAGCTTAGAAAAGGAATGAAAAATCCATTCTTCAACAAACTGCTAACCTTCATCTGTGAATGAGAAAGTCACTGACAATATGTTTCTTTTAAAAACTTGATACAAGTTAGGCTACCAGTTTGTAACAGGAGCCATCAGTTTCTCTACTCATTTCTGACCATAGCTCAAGTAGATCTCATGGAAATATTCATAGAGACCTAGTGGACACTATTCGTAACATATTTGTTGATAACACAAATATAATAGCACCACCAACATGCAAAAAAGGCTAGAAAAAATAGAAGCCTTATTAATAAAAAATATAAAAAAAACAACATTCAATAACATCAACTATGAACATGGACACAATATCTTGACCGTGTTTTGAAAAAGGAAACATTATATAAATACATACATGCAACAAACTATTTCCTATTTAACAGTTAAAATGTTTCATCTAAAATGTATTTTATAGCCGAAAGTGATCGAAAAAAATAACATTCGAACAAGTTTTATATAATGTATCATCTGAAAAGAAAAAAAATATTAGATCATTAGATATGAGAAATTGTATAAAAAACTAAATCAAAGCACCTTGTCTGTCTTATTCAATGAAATGTGCATGAAAGAAGGATTGCTGCCTATATACACAAATATATATATATATATATGTGTGTGTGTGTTGTGTGTGTGTGTGTGTGTGTGTGTGTGTGTGTGTGTGTGTGTGTGTGTGTGTGTGTGATTGATTTTTATGGTGATATTCTTGGTCGCGTAAGTTGTTTTTTTTTAATAGGAAATAGTACAGAGTTTGTATTATGCTGTATACGATGCGATACGTGCTTCGGGAATTAAGAAGTCCCCAAAAGGGTAAATTAGTCTGGTCACTACGGCATCCTATAGTCGAAAAGCAAAAGAAGAGGTGCTCCCCTCCCACATACACACACTTGGCTGCTAAGGTGGTGTAATCCCACAGACCCAACGAAAGAAGAAATACAAGAAAAAAAAAGCAATGAAAGAAGGAAAAAAGAAACGATAAAAGAACTTAGTAAAGAAAGC